ACGACTTCCCCTCCAGAGCAGGTGATTGCTTGCAGCTGGGGCGCATTTAGAACATTTTAATATTATGCAGAAGATTAGAGCAAACTAACTACATTATTCTCCAATTACACTCATTTCATCCACTGATGTCTTAATTTCCTTCCTTTCGTCGATTAGCCTAATGCGAAAATTGGAATGTGCTTAGGAGTATTCCGATTGTTGTTCCTTGGCTGCCTGTTATTTCACACCGCCATTAAGAGTCGTCTGTATTGTAACTGTAAATAAAACGATTAGGGGAAGATCCAGCAGAGGGTAGGAGATTTCAATTCTGGGATCTGCTTATCAACATTCTTGGAAGGTTTGAGCTTCCAGGCCTCACAGGAGTGGCATTAAAACCCTGTTCTACATCCGCATTATACTAGTAAATCTCAGTTTACCAAATGTTATGCACCGTGTCACAAATAAATAAATCAATTAGAGTTAAACTGTAAATGTTTGCCTTTACTGCAAGGTTCAATTTATATAGCCTCGCGCTCATAAACCCACTTAATGTCCTGCAATGCATACACAAATTATTAGACTAAAGGCACACACATCATCGTACAGTACATCGCGCATTTCAGGGAGTACAGACAAAGAGTGTTTTTTTCAATGACCAAAGCAGTTAAGAGCCCATATTTAACAAGAAGTAGAATTTAGTTATTTTTGTAAGCAGTCTAATGCTTTACTGTTATATCAATGTAACAGTTTTCAATTAATTTAATTGGAGTTTTTATGATTCGTGAAGTGCACTGAAGGTAATTCATTGCTATATTATGTCTGACAAATGCAACAAGTACACATTGGAAATAACAATGTGGCACTTACAAGACACACAAACAATTAGCCAACTAATAAATTGACTAATATTTTTTTTAAACTATGTCTGATTTAAGCTCTTCTTCTGTATAGTAGTGTTCTCAGACAAGGTAATCACCAGAGTCAAAACTCAACAATTATTAGCACAAGTTTAGACTGGTGTTCTAACAGGTAACATACTGTACATTTTGCAGAGGGTACAGTCTTCCTTTCACATACACATTGAATATACATAAATAAAGAGATTGAGCATTAAAATTAAACCCCATATGTTTTCTTCTTTGGTTATGTCAGTGTACAGTATGAGGCTTAGGGCTACAATTGTTTTTCTGTACTAAGGTGTTGTTAATATTTGAGCAGCTCTTGACCTCTCACTCTCAGTGGACACATTTAAAACCATGGCGCTATTACTTTCGAGATCTATTCAGACTAGGATATTGCGCAATGTTAGAACTTACACACATGGAACAGCGCTTCATGTGTCTCTGACATGTATCCCCATGGGAAGCTAATTTCTGTTGTTGTTTACAAGAGGACACTGATACCCTGCTGAATTAGTTCTTCACCTTAATATTTATGATCTGACTTTCAGGGATTCTTTGTCACAAATCACAAGCACAGGGAGTTGAAATCAGGGTTCAGGAAACTACTTCTGACTCTCAGAACACATACCGTATGGAATATATCAGTTGAATTCCAAATGTATTTAAATGCAATTTTGCCACTTTTTCTTTTAGATGAAACTGTAAATGACATTGCAGTGATATCTGATAGAACGCCTGTGGGCTGTATGCTGTTGTTCAGTGTTTGTTTAAAACTTACTGTCCTTTTTGTATCTAGGAACAAAGGCACCTAGTGTAGATTTCATTTTTTTCTTTTCTTTTGACATTGTGTTAATACCTGGCAGCATATTTACAATTCATTCGTCGCCACATTCATTTTTTTAAATGTCCCGACTAAGACACGATGTGGGATCTCTCTTGCCCTGTGCTTCCAATTGATGAATTCCATTACCACTGCCATAAAGCTGAGGAATAATTCATAACCTGCTCTCAAACCAAAGCAGACACGCTCAGTTCCATTCAATTTAAGACTATCTCTTTTGGCCACTGACCGCCTTCTATGTTTGATAAGACTTGCAAACAGGAAATAGTATTTTCCAGTGGTACAATGCACAGATTTTAGATCAGAAATAAACGATGCAGGAAAATAAGTCATTTATAGGTGATGCTTCTTTTGTTGCCGGTGCTAATAATGGAAGTCCAGTTATGTTAATACAAAAGAGTCAAAAAAATGTTTTGACCCCATCACCTAGAGCTGAGCCAGTACAGGCGCATCACAGGAAATTCACCAGACCTTTGAGAGTCTTCAGGTCATACACACTAGAATGTGCTGCTATGATGAACTTCACAGTCAAATAATAAGAAAATAAGCAATAATGTATAAGGATGACAACTCTAAGGGCGGTAAGATATGCTTTACTGTGATTTCTCTTTAGAATTATTCCACGAGTCCTCAAACATGTAACCGAAAAATTAAAATAAAAGGCAAAGAAAAAATGTCCCAAATAAGACTCCACAACATTTCTTTCTGTTCGTAAGAAAGGACCATGCGGTCAGAGAAGAATGAGCTCGTAGTTTGGGTAAAGTCACATGTGTAAGGATCAGCCAGAAAGTTTTTAAGCCATATTCTAATCTTTACTTTACATTATAAAGAATAGATAATGAAGTGCAGTTACATTTTAAGACATTTCAAGAAGCTAATATAAATTCTTATTGGAGAATAATAATTATTACAAAATGAATTTGCTCTGAAAAGCGATAAAAACATCTCAGTGGCAGGATTTGGGTACGCAATTAAAAATACAACTGCATTAAACTATATCTTAAAGGATATATAACAAATATTTTTTAATCAAAAAGTTTTTTTTAAAATAAAAGGGTGTAACTGTTGTTGGTAACCATGTATTTAGTAGTCACAGAAGCCAGTAAAACATATAAAATGTTTTCTTTTACAACCAGGCGGACACTTTCAAATACATATGATTAAACTTGAACAAATCAGGTAATTATAGAACAAACTTAGCTTGGCAAGCACCTTTTGAACTGAATTACATCCTTCATATCCTGACTACACACAAAAAATTACTTTGAAAAACATAAATATTTATTTTTCTGGTGTTTCTGTCTGTGAAACAGGTTCAAAATCGTCTTGTTTGAAGAGTGTATTAAGGGAAAAGAAACATTCTGAAAAAAAAAGTCCTTATTCTTTCCAAAGATGCTTCTGTTTTGTCATTTGCATTCCATGCGTGACTTCTCTCTTGAGTACTTGAGTACAGGTAACACAAAACTCACAGACAGACAAGTTCTTGTACAGACAGCAGCATTTTAATCTCTGAATGGTTGGGACTGAGGGTGGATTATGACTAAATAGAAAGAAAGAAAATACACTGGCTACTGTTTTTCAGGTCAGAGGTAATAGCTTCTTTTGTGTCTGAAATATACTAATATTGAAGAGAGAAGTGTACATAAACATTCCAAAGTATACTTCTAATTCAAAAGCAGCTACTGGCTGGGGTTTTGTCAAACTGGGTATCTGCCAGTGGGCTACACCATTGCAGGTAAAGTGGGGGCAAAATAATTATCCTGCAAAAAGAAATATTTCCAACCCATGTTTTTCTATTCTATTTTTTCATTTTTTTTATTTTCATAATTGTTACAGAGTTTTACTTGAAATATTTTCACAACAAAATCCAATGTCAACTGGCAGTGTACCTTTATAATTTATTTCAAGAAATACTCTAAAAATGGGAAAACATACATTCTCACTGATTCGGGTGTATGTCAAGAAAGACTAATCCTGAAACTTGTAGCCTATTGTTCAAAATATTTTTTTACAGCTGAAAGTGTTTGAAACAATAATGCAATTTGAAATATTTAAAAATATTGTTTTGGGGTAATATATTTTACTGTTATATATATTTTTGAATGTTGCGTACAGTAAGCATAATATATTATGCATACTATACATGAATGGGTCATATGAAGGATGACGTTTATCTCTCATAGATTAAATTTCAAGAAAAATCCTGACACAAACTATGAATATCTTTATTTGAAATGAATACATACAGTATATTGCAGGAAATAAAACATCTCTGAATGTGAGCATCATTTGTACAAATACACTGCACAGTGGCTACAGTACACAGAATACAGGCTTTGTGATTTATGCATTCCAGGAACACATATGATTACATTTGTTTTTTAAATTAAATTATTTTTGGCATCTTGCAAAGCTGGATTGAATGACTGCCGATATACAGTTCTATGTGGTGATATTATGTATGTCTTTCCTGTTGAGCGACTGCATTGAGCAGTGTGGAGTAGTGGTTTGAGCTCCAGAGTCTAGAGCACAAGGCCATTGGTTCAAATGGACGTTGTGGGTGGTTTGGTGGCTCTGTGGCTCAGGATCTGCGCCTCTGGCTGGAAGGTTGCTGGTTTGTATCCTGCGGCCGGCAGAGGAATCCTACTCCACTGGGCCCATGAGCAAGGCCCTTCACCCCAACTGCTCCAGGGGCGCTGAATGAATGACTGGCCCTGCGCTCTGACCCCCAGCTTCTCCCCCTGTCTGTGTGTCTCATGGAGAGCAAGCTGGGGTAAGCGAAAAGACGAATTCCCAATGCAAGAAATTGGATATGGCCAATAAAGTGGTCTTATCTTAAATCCTGGGTGAAATTACACCATTGAACTAGGTCCATTACTCAATGTCCCCACTATATGATGATGGTTCTCCAGGTGTCGTGGTTAGTGCAATGCTAGTTTTAATGGACATATGTAATAAAATTAAAATGAAACATCTTAGACTATTGCAACATTTATTTGCCGTTTCTCGTTTTGTGTTTCTTTAGGTGCTCCACTTTTGTTGTGTGTAAACCATTCCCATGGGCCATTCATGTCTTAAAAACACCTCCTGGAAACATAAAAAAGAAACAACAAGAAAGAATACCAGTTACATTAGGTGATTCGCTTCTAAAAACCTCTGCAGTTCCTGGTGTGTAAGCACCTACGGTACTGTATGTTCACACAGAGTGACCCTACCTGTATCACTTGTGATCGCACAAATACCATGCATTCACAGAATTCAGGAGTTTTTAGAGGTTTTAACAGCCTCCTTCTGTTATGGCCTAATTTTGTACGCAGATTAATGTTAATCTGATTAATGCTATTAAGCCAATAAAATAAGATTTTTAGTTCAGCAATACAGTATGTGACAGTGTTTTTATTAGGAAAGCAGGATAAGTTACGTGTGAGGCAGAGTTGCAAGACACGAGCACTTATTTTGTCAATAAGCGCCATCCCTGGTGAGAGTAAAAAATATTTTGGTAGTTCTATATATCACCAACAAAGCACCAATGCAGCCAGGATATTCATATAATTCACCTGCTGAGAAATGCTGCCTCTGAGCCTGAACTTTTGCTGTAGTTTGTCTGTATACCATGCTGGGCTAACAAGGTTTCAAAAACAATATTTTCTTTAAAAAAAACAGACTTAACAAAGAATGCAGATAATACAAAAAACACATTTCTAAGTGAGTTGTTCAGAGCCATATCTTTTTGTAAACGTAGTGAGCTTTGAGAGCAATTACAAGAAAATATCAGATTAAACATAGCTTGTCAGCATTGCTCAGCTGCATTTCGATTATGTTGACTGAGCATTTTTCAGTACCGGAAAAAAAGAAGGAAGGGAAAAAAATACGTAACTTTAATCTGTATGACATACTAACATACATGTACCTAGCAGTTTTAGTGCCGTGTGTAATCACTTTACTGGTTAAAAAAAAGAGAATTTCTAACTATTTGTCTCTGTCTATTTTGTGAAAATCTGATGCCCTTAAGCAGGAAAGTTTATGATCACTTTTGGTTCATCTCAGATGACTGCAATTCTTTTTTATTGTTCTGACTTGTTGCTGAAACACACCATATCCTATGCATCACAAGTCAAAACCACAAAGCTTTCAAAGCATTTTAAAAACATGTACTGCACTCAGTACTTCAACAACAGTTGTAAATGTTGCTGACAAAAGTAGGCAACCATTTTTGGATTCAACAAAAAGGCGAACAAACATCATAAAAAATCCATCTACATTCCACCCCTAAATATTCACTTTTTTAGGTAAGAGTATGAAAGGAACTTAGATAAACATTATTTTGTTTTAGTTACTCTGTGGTCAGCATCACTATATAAAGTGAGACTTCACAAAAGAAAAAATAAAAAATATACAACAAATACTCTAAAATACAAACCAAGAGAATAAGGTGAATAATATGTTATCACGTTATTATTAGTTATCTAATTTTAACTAATTCTAAAAGCAGTTTGGGGGAACACACAAAAGCAGGGTTTCTGCAATGAGAAGTTGTTGTGATAGTAATTTAACTGCTCTCTCTTACACACTCCTGCACATTGTTTTAACTGTATTTCCATGTTTAGGAAAATGTTTCTACAATTGCTACAGGAGATCACAACGGAATAAGGAGGAAATGAGTATGTAAAGGGATCTAATTCTTCATTCTCAAAAGTTTTATATCCTGAATTTACAGTAGGACAACATTTGAGTTGTACTTATTTATAGTTTTTCCTATAAAGAAAATAATAGAAAATGTTCTATACAAGAAAATTGCAGATATCAACAACAAATAAACTGTCATACAGTAAATAAAAAAATTAAATTAAATGCGCTCAATTATAATCCAAGAAATTTGACTACCCGATTAGAAATTTTATATTGCATATTTCACTCCTTACCCTTTGAAGGAAAACTCCAATCGGCTTAGTAATAAAAAAAAAGCTTTTATTACTTTCTATGTCTCGTTGTGTTTAAGACTGTCACAAAGTTGCACTTTGTTTTATTTAAGAGAAAATAAATATACTCATGGAAAGGAGTATGAGATATCCGGAAGGAACTATCGTATACTCTGGGAACTTGTTTGGTGGGTGAGATCACTGTGCTCCTCTTCACTTTGTTCTTCACAGTGAGATATGAAGCAGTGATATATCATATTACCACAGGTGGCTATGAAACAAACTATGCTGGAATGCTTAACAACATAAATCTGAATAATTGCAGGGCATTAATCAGATAAGTAATATGGTAAAGTTGGGGTGACACCTTTATCTTTACAACTGCAATCTTATCCACATTTTTTTCAGATGCTTCGCGGTTTTGACAAAGAGGGCTCAGCTATGAATTTAACTCCTGAATGCTCATAGATCTTTCTGTGTCAGGCATGATGCTTCAAGGTCCCTGTAAAACCCAAATCATAAAGCTGTTCGACGACTGAGTGGAAATAAAGGAGTGGCTAAAGACATGAAAAAAATATTCCAGTAGTAGTCGTTTTCGAACCAGAGAATGAGGTTTTGCAAATCTTACGCAAAACAGTTTTACTCAAACGCATCCAAACAAAACATCTACTCTTATCTGGTAAATGCACAAGTGATTCTTTCCAAACTGTTTTCACCGTGATCTCTGAGATAGTGTCTGCTCCTAACGATGAAGAGAAGTAGTGCCTTGTGTCTGGTGTAAAAAATCCTCAGTTGTGCTTGTGTGAAAACATGTCACTGCCATAAAAAAAGACTGAGTGATAACATCAAAACTGTAAATATGCTGAAGGACATTTCAAGCTGTAAAAAAAGTGAACAAAGTTGTATCAAAGCCACCTTTAGTCTTGCTAAATCCAGACTTTCTGTTACGACTCCTAACAAATGCATGGAATGGTGTGGTCTTTCGCATAATTGATGTCTAATTTTTTTAATAACCAGTATTTCCTTTTCTCTTTGATACAGTTGTTTTTCTTTCACTTTATATTAATTTGTGTTTATGTATTGGCTTAAAAGATTGTGAAGAGCAGCCCTCCTCCCTTTTCTGGTATAATGAACTCTCAGACCCAAGGCATAGCTTACATCATCACTCAGCACAACCATAAATTATCTTGGTTAGTAAGCCTGGTCTCACTGTCTTTCCAGGTGTGCTCTTCAGACACCTAGACTATAAATAGAGCCTGTGGTTGGGAAAAACTGACAGCACAGACACTGGAAACTGGATCATGAAACAGATCATTTCCTTGGTAGGCAGTTCCCACAGAGCTCATAAAAGGTAGGCCAGGCTTTCAGCAACAACTCCGGGAGAGTCCCCAGCAGCCTCTTTCTTCTTTTCTGTAATATCCCCAAGTATGACCAGAAAACATGTATTTATCATCAGTCGTCCAGGCATAACAACAATGGAGGGAGGAGATATGGTCAATTCTTAAATAAATCAGGACAAATAAGAACCCCTTAGTTTCCCTTTTATATTTTCCAAGGAGAAAGCATTGAAAGTTACAAGACATCTTGGGTTCCTTCGGCCTAGCAAAACCAATTGTTCCCCGATGGCCAATAAGAGCTGAAATCCCTTTGCACATTAACACAGAAGACCAAAACCACAGCAAAGAGGAAGAAGGCCACAGTGGTTCACAGGTTTAAATGAAGAGCTCTGTATATGGTACTTTGTTTAAGATGGTACAAGTCTATGTTCCATGGCTTTGTTTAATACGTTGCTGGAGAGGGAAGACTACTCTGGTGCTGCACCTGGTATTTTGCAATGGCCTTTATTTGTTTATTGAAGGAGATTCCACATACATTTCTCTATTACCCCATGTACACTTTACACGCTCAACAGAAACTACACAGAATTGACAGATAACACAAGGAAGTGTTTGCACTCACCAGGAGCTTTATGTAGCGTGCAGTGTTCCTGGTATGACAAGAAGCACTGTTTCACAGGTGGTAGCCAGCAGCCATATCACCCTGCAACTCACAACTGGCAACCCACTGGAGCTCAGCAGGTGTGAGCCCGGTCAGTACCTGGATGGGAGACCTCCTGGGAAAAACTAAGGTTGCTGCTGGAAGAGGTGTTAGTGGGGCCAGCGGGGGGCGCTCACCCTGCGGTCCATGTGGGTCCTAATGCCCCAGTATAGTGACGGGGACACTATACTGTAAACAGGCGCCGTCCTTCGGATGAGACGTAAAACCGAGGTCCTGACTCTCTGTGGTCATTAAAAATCCCAGGGCGCTTCTCGAAAAGAGTAGGGGTGTAACCCCGGTGTCCAGGCCAAATTTCCAATTGGCCCTTACTAATCATGGCCTCCTAATAATCCCCCTCTATGAATTGGCTACATTACTCTGCTCTCCTCCCCACTGAGAGCTGATGTGTGGTGAGCGTTCTGGCGCACTATGGCTGCCGTCGCATCATCCAGGTGGGGCTGCACATTGGTGGTGGTGGAGGGGATCCCCATTACCTGTAAAGCGCTTTGAGTGGAGTGTCCAGAAAAGCGCTATATAAGTGTAAGCAGTTATTATTATAATTATTACTGTGTGCATTCTTGTCAGCTATCACCCACTCCCCTCACGCGGCCCCACTGCTGAAAAGTCCTTGTAGCAGAACCTGCACCATGTGAGGGGCTCTGCATGCCTGTGTAGTAGTCAGATACGACAGAGGCGACATGGTCCGGAGGCCGTTCAGACACAACCCGTTCCTGAGAAGGACGACGTTCTTCATATGCTTAACTTAAGCTTTTCACCCCTTTTCAACTATGATGACACAGCAGAAGAATCCCCTTTTTCAGACTTTTGTTAACTACAGACCTAAATTGTTCAGTAGGCCACCTCAGACTGTACCGGCGTTTGGCTGAATTCCTAGACATCTCACATGTAGAGGAGTCCTTCGTTATGTCATCAAAAGAAATTGCCTCACAAGTTGTAAGGAGACTCTAGGTGTGTCGTGCTCTATTGTTCTATAATTACAGTATTGTACTACAAAGTAGAGGCGTCTTATTAAAAAGAGAAGGATCTACATCAAACTCCTATGCTTTCATTATTACAATCTCCAGATCTTTTCACTGTACGTGATAATTAGTGAAGCCGTGTGGCCCCAGCGATTGCAGCTGTAGTTCGGGACGAGGAAAAAAAAAACAAGACTCTGAGTCAGCCTGTGAATCACTCTGGAAGACCCAAGACACACCACAGCACTGCACACTGTCTGCAGAATAAAGGTCATGAAACACCATCCGACTCAGATGTCAGAAGCTTAAAAGCTACATTGAATAATAATTATAATAATAAAGTAGAGCATTTAAACCACAAGGGTTTGAATCCTGAGAGCTAAAGAAATGATACGCATTTAAACAACATCAAACAAATAATAAAAAATATATTTTAGCTGTCAAAAACTGAAGTTTCAATATAAGTTTCACAGCTGTTTTGTTTTTAGTAAAACACACATATGCGCAAAAATAGCAGCTAAAAGGATACAATCAAAAAGCATTAAAACGATGACTGGATAGTGCCAAAGACTCCATGTGTTTTGAATTGGGTGAAATGTTACAAGAGATTATTCTCAACTCATTATCACTATTTCCCCAAAACACAGAATTTTTATTTTGCATTTAAGGTTAAACATATTGATTTACAAAATTCTGATTACCCATTTGCATTTAAAAAAACATATTCCAAATCCCTCTACCATTGCAGCTTTTCTGCATTTATATATTCAACCGTTATATATGCATATTTTATTATTTTTGTTTAACTTAACAGGAAGGACAACATTCTGTTCTGTTTAATTCTGTTGCAGCATAGAGCAGTGGATGTACTTTATGAAAAATCTATGCTGGATACTGTATATGAATGAAATACTCTTAAGATATAAAAAGGACGCTGTCAGCACTAATGTTTGTGGATCACAGGCCTGGATGTAAAACCTGTTATACTCTATGGTTTCAACACATAGGGTTCTCAAGTGGTTAGAAAGCAATAATAATGGAATCTTTATTTGTCACGGCAAGAGAAATGTCAGGTGTTTTCTACAACTTTGCTCAAAGAAATGTCGCCAATGAAACACAGATACACAATTTATTGGAAATTCATTTGATTCACAGTTCCATAATAAGTTCTGCATATATTTCCTGTATTATTGCTAAATGAAAATGAGATATTTACTTCTTCACAAGATCAGGAATCTTACAAAATCATCACATTTGTTGAACATGTGTGAACAGTTTTTTTTCCATATATAGAAAATAATGCTGCTATCAAATCATTATCTATGCATGCTTTTAATATATTGAATTGAATTTTTATTTCGCACTTAAGGTTAAACATGGATTGATGTACTTGGGGATGATTTAAAAAACTGTGATCACCCAGGCATTTATTGTAAATAAGCATATTCCAAATCCTTTTGAGCTAAATTAGTTAAATCCAGTGTTAAGTAATGCATGAAATTCATTTTTTATTTCATTATGATGTTTACATCATCTGTGACCATCTAAATGAAACTTTTCATTGAAACTGAAATATGAAACTTTGAATCAATTCTTCAGAGAAATTGTTCAAAAATCAAATGGCTTAGTTATCGCATGAGTACTGTATAGCTCATAATGGTATTCTTCATTTAAAGATAGCAGTTAATCTTTTCCTTGTTAAATAGTATTTAAATTTACTGTATCTATATAGATGTAGACAATAGACAAATTTTAGAATCTCAAAACGATTGAACTCTTTGCAAACTGGATATAATGTCCTTTGAGATTAAGTTACTGTACATTTTAGATACGATTCAGTTTTGCTTCGCAACTAGATTTGTTTTCATTGTTCGCGGCATTATATAATCTCCTTCTTTAGATCTTTTGCATTTTCTGTTATTATTAAATATGCAATATACTGGAAACTACATAAATCAGTGCGCACAAATGTAAACAATTTCATGCACTGACATAACGGGCCACACAGGTTCTGTAGGAGAGAGTGCTGTATTATTGCTGGGGATTGCTACAGTATGTTAATTTCTGATCAAACTAAAACAGTAGGTGTGACCCCTGCTCCTGTGCTCCTTGTTCCTCCCACAGTCTAATGACGCTGAGTCCCGGTCAGCTGGCATCTCTTACCTGCCACACATGGATGTGTGCTCCGGGATGGACTGGGGCTCTCTCCAGCCTCATCTTCCTGGGACTCACTGCACCCATCTAAGGATCAGGTCAGTTATGAACAATCAGTTAATCTAAATGATCCCCAAATCATTTAATCAACACTCAAAAACTGAATACCATATTGTTGGTCTCTTTACATACTCAGTATAGAGTTTAAATGGACAGTATAGATGTTTTTTGAAATTTCAGTTTGTAAACAGTATGAAAATAAATGGTTAAGTGAGCAAATACTTTATGGGAGTAGGTTGTCCTGCTATAAAACAACTCCAATATTTTCCCATGAAAATGTAGATTCTTTATACTAATCAAAAGCAACATGGATAGATTCTGAGAGCAATTTCAGAGTTTCAGTGAAAAAGTAATTGAATAATAATAATAATAATAACAAGAAATCCAAAGATTATTGCTTCCCAGCTCCAGTCCTGTGAGACACCAATTATCCAAACATTTGACTTACCAGTCAGTTAATAATTTAAAATTATTTTAAAAATCTGGTTTACATTATGTATAAAACATTCACATATGCTTAGTTTTAAATTAAAAGAGTTTTGTTGTTGATGTTGATTCAAATGTAATACAATGCAGCTTTTAAGCTTCAAATCTAGCTGGTAAATAACTAAACTGACAATTTAAGAAGTTGCACTTTTCCTGTTTAATCTTAATTTCATTTCTAAAAAAAATATTTGAAAGAATTTTTGAAAGAAAACATATTCCGCAGAATTCGACAGTCACTATCTCAGGCCATATGAAATCCAGAAATGTCATCTGATTAGACATCTCTATTCCAGACCCCCGATGTATAATGTCATGTCTGAGCACGATGCCCCTGTGCTATCTGCAAACTGAATCCACTTGTGGCATCCTAGATTTTAACTTGTTTTGCCATCCCAGCTGCAGTTCACCATGAGAGGTCCCAGCGGACCTCCGGGGACTTGAATGATGAACCTCGGGTCATTAATACAGAACAATCATTTGGGAAACTGCCCTGGCAGTATATTCTGAACACAGAACTGACCGAGAAGGAGTGGCTGTTTGTTTTCCAGCGCCTTCAATCTCTATTGTGGGCTCTGGACCTCAGTTACATGCTCCAGTGATTGCTCTGTGACCAAGCATATGTTACGAGTCTTCTGCACCAGCCCCTGCGTTAGACATCATTAGTGCCATCTGTGACAATACCCATAAGGCCAGGCGCGCATGAAGAGGAAGAAGGGGAAACGCAGAGAGACAGAGGGTGAATGTCTCTGCGGACAAGGGAAAGAAACTGCTCTGCTACTGATGAGGCCAGGAGCCGCCACGTCAGGCAGCTCTGAACCCTGCAGGAGGTTTGAAGCTGAGCTAAAGACACCAGTATGGAAGTGATTAAGCAAGCAGACAACAAGCAAGATAGAGGAAATGCTGAAATAATAGGACCAGGAAGACTAAATGGCCTGTCAAACACACCCACTTTTGACCTCCCCTGAGCCACTCTGGCCTCGATGAAAGATCCAGGCACTTTCTTCTTCTAATGATTTCCTCAGTAATCAGCCAGCGGAAGTTGTTGAGTGCAGTGTGATTAGTTGGAAAGGATTTCTTAATCGCTCAGTTCTCATGCTCCAGAAAAAAAAAGAAAGGTAATAAAAAAGCTTTGGAGCAGGAAGTGGCCGAGGTAGTCGTGTGTTAGAGAGCCTGCTGCAGCACGTAGGGAGCTCAGGAGGGAAGCTCTCTCGCTTTCCTGAGACACGACTGAATTACTGTACATGAGCTCCTCTGACCTGTTGATGAACATCGATCTTCAATATTTCTTTATCTGCTATAGAACACGCTATCATTTATTCCTTACGACTGCCTATAATTCTCTGATATTTGCATCTTCTTTTGCCCTGGGCGGCATCATTTGATGTCACTTGCCTGGAACTTTTTAAGAGGAAATATGAAAGTCTGAGACATCTAAAGTGCATGATACCTACAGATACCTACTGTACAACGACAACAAACCTTTTCTTGAGACGGTCAGCACCATCAGTAACTGTACCGTACAGAGTCATCAGCAGACAGCAGACAGAGGTTCACACTGCAAATCACCTTACAAGGAGCTGTAGCAGTACAAACACGAAAAACTGAATAAGAACAGCCCAACTGGAGGCTTGTACTGTTCATGAGACCACTTTATCTTTGACCACTTTGAAGAAGTGAGAAAAAAAGCTTTCTCTAAAAGAGCAATAAATGTTTCGACATTTTAGCCTCAACCAGCATTTCTCAACAAAGTAGTATTTAGTTCATAACACAAATACTATGCTCCATGATTGCTAGTAAAACAACACAATAAGAAGGAATCTCAAAGGATCCCTGTTGTATATATAGCCTTTGCTTTCATTCTCAATCTTCATTTCCCCCAAAGAATACATTTACACAGATCACCCTCAGATAAACTCAATACAAGTTGGTTGGCAGATGATTTCTGAGGTCCCACATTATCGCTCAAGAATTTAAATGTACTTTATGTGTGGAACAGCCAGAAGGAAAAAAGAAAAATATCTTGAATGATTGCTGGATCAGCTGTGTGAAACATGGCACTTTATCCAAGGATAAACGAGAGCTAAGGCAGCTTTAGTAGACAGCTGAAATCCGAAGCTTGTGAAGCCCTGTAACAAATCACACCACATAAATGCTGCTGCATACCGAGAGAGATCCTGATAATGAGCACAGGTGATACCTGGCAAATAATATGGACAATGCATGATGGTAAATGAAACTGATACCTCATGACCAAAGTGTGTGATAGCTGGCAGCGCATAGATGAGGATGAATAGCGAGGATTTCTGACACATGAACGAAACCAAGAAGAGAGACAAAAGATGTCAGAGGGAAATTTGACACGTGGCTGGAGCTGCTACCGCTGATGATGTCTCATGAAGTAAAAAAAAAATGCAGGCTGCCAGTATCAGTGTTTTACAGAAAAAATACACAAAATAGCAAGAAGTGAAGTCCTGGCATACAGCCTCCAGAATCCTACAGTATATAGTGATACCGTACAATCAATATAAAAAATGCATATACGCATTTCCTTCTTCCCAGACTTTAGGGAGATTTCATTTCTACCAGGCTTTCAGTCCCATCAGGCTCATTTGATATACCTGCAGTTATCAGCAATTAAAGTGAATCAGACTATACATGTAAAAATGTCTGAGCTGGTTTCATGACAGACTGAATCAGTAGATTTTCAGCACTTACAGTAAGCTTTGCTTAGCCTCTACACCCTTTGGGATCTACATTTCCAAGCTGGAGTTACTGAACTTACGTGAACTGCTGTCTAAATGAAATTCCTCTTGGATTTGTAGGAATTGTTCATGCTGGTTCATTGAACTCCTGAATAAATGGCGTTACTAAATTTTAATTTAAGTTCTGGATTCAACTAAATTATTTATTACTGACAAAAAATGGATGACATCAAATGTTTTTCAAACCTTTCCTCTATGGAAACGAAATTGTCACCATAGGGTTTCTCAGAATGAACCTCAAGAAATGTAAAAGATTTTTTCCTATATATCCACAACTTAACTTTGAATTTCAATATCTCTAAAATAACAATAAAGAGGCATACATTGTTTTATATAGTCTTAAAGTTAAAAGGTGATTCATCCATTGAGAGTAATGCGCTTGGACAGAATGCTATGCTAACATTCTGTAAAATGCATTTGAGATATGCAGAAATGAAAAAAAAGATATTTCCAGATTTAAAAAAAAAAACTGGATACATTCCAAAATGCAATGTGATATTTTAAGATCAAGCCATTTACAGCATCAACAACTCTTTAACAACATTAGAAAAGTACAGATTTTTTACACATTAGAAGCCATACTGTACATATCGGAGACAATTTATGATACAGTATGTGCTAATATTTTGAAATAAATATTCTGATATTAATCCACTGAGCATACAGTCTTGTTTTTCAACTAAATAGGTGTGTTAAAGTATTACAGTATCAAAAGCACAAGAAACATACTGTACAGTGAATATCTGTCAGCTTAATATACATAATATTTAAGGGAGTTTTAAGCAGATACTTAAACAGTCTAATCAAAAACAATAAGACATCTAAATATTGAGAATGGAAACATATTCTTGCACTCATAAACAGCAGAAACAATATCTTTTCATTTTATTGTTCGGCAAAAGGTGTTTGTGAGAACATACCGTTTCCAATTTCCTGGAAGCCTCTATCATCTCAGCATCATATTCACTGATGGACAGCAGCATACCAGTCCCTGAACCTCACTATCCAGCACACAGCGAGCTGTTACTGATACTCTCAGCACTTGCAGATTTGGCCTCAGGAGCAATGACATTTAAAATAACAGTATAAATCAAGCATTGTGTCAGTGTGGTATGACTATTAAGGTGGTGCCTGAAAACTAAAACTATTAGCAGTCTTATTGTGTACATTTTTTCTATACATTTTCTTTCATTGTCAACTTTCTTGAAAGTATCCCATGAGAATTACCAAACCAGTGACAAGGTTGTCAAAATACTGATGGATTTAATTACTGATGACAACCTGAAAAAAATGCCTGTGTTAGACAAATGCACCCCTTGAAACAATTTTTCTCAATGTGAATATAAATCACTTTTTACATTAACAGGGGAAATAGTGCAATCTGTTGTTTTGTTTTATTTTTTGTAATAAACGTGAACCAAGCCAAACAACTGCGTATACGAACAATGCGATTTGTCCAGTGTATTTGGTACACAAATGCACAACTACAGAGTTGGTGAAACTGAACATGTCTCTTGATTTATACGGAGAAGTTTAGAACACCTTATCCCGGACCTTGTGACGCTGACACAAGCTGTGGGTTTTCCAAAATGTTGCAGATAAGATTAAAAGAGAAGAGAAAAACAGAAACCGAGAGGTTCATGCTGAATTTGGCATTTATTATGGTGACACCTTCAAAGAGGCTACCTGGGAAACATCAGTGTAATTGCTAATGGCTACTGGTCCAAAAGACACAACTGGCAGATACAGTATGGCTTCATAATAAAACATGACATCTATAAAGAAGAGATCATGGAAAGTGTTATGGGTTAGGATCTGTGTTTATATTAGGATTTAATATTTACAAATCCCAAAATATGCCCTGCCATAACAACACAACTTATTTTAGTCATGTTTAGAATTAACCTTTTAGGTTTGAGGGATAGCCCAGCCTTATGGACAAGCCTTAATGTAAAAAGAAACCCGCCTTGGACAGACTTCTCTGCTGTGAAAACATTTTTGGTATTTCAGAAATCTTTTCTTGCACCATAATAAATATCTTTCTAAAGACATGCTGCTGTTGCCTCCAGTAATTTCAAAGAAAAAAAAATCCTTAATAGTTTTCAATATTTAGGTCAATAACCCTTATGGGTTCTACAACATTAGTATCACCAGCCAGCAGGTTAATATTGGTTCTGTGTGGCCTTTTGAATTTGGCTATCCACTGGATAAATTATGAGCTTTTTGATATGTCAACAAATCCAGTAACATGGTTCAATATTATTGATGCATTACAGTTAATTGTGTTGCCGTATGCAACCTGGTAATTATATTGGTTAAGCACTTCTACAGACAGACGGTACTTAAAGGTTAATTTGCTATAATTACAGATCAATTTAGTTAAATCAGTCTCAACCTGGCAAGAATATAGAGAGTTAATAGCACTGACACCTGGAATCGGTATTCTTTTAGTCAGGCCCAGCTAAATAGCCATGTAAAAATAAAGTAAACTTACAATGTGCACCAACTCTGCAGAGGCAAACCTTTCACAGCTTCCCATGGAAATTCCGAGGTGCATCTAGGTTTTCCAAATCCAGGTGACACATTCCTTAACCTTCCATTTAGCACATTTCTATTTCTTCATTCAGCCATTAAAGACCACAGGACTTTAAGGACAATTTAAAATATTTTATAAAAGGAAATGTGATCCTCTCTCTTCAGAAGGAAAACATGCACGTAGAATTTTTTTCATATTTTTCCACAAGTGGCAGCTCCACACTCATGTATATACTGTATGTGTAGTTTTATAAAGTGCATTTAAAACTGAAAGCAGTAGGCATTGGTTTCATTTATTGAAGCTGATATCTTTCAAGGAATGCCTGGATGAGATCTTTGGAACACGTTGGCTCCTAACCACCAAAGGTCTACATGGGCCAAATGGCCTTTTCTAATGTTTGTGGCCTTCTTAGAAAATTCATAGAATGTTGCCTTGTGAGCTCTTGTATATCCAGTTAGAACAACATACCTTCTCATTAAAGAAAACAAATGGCATCAACAATGCACTGATATTTTAACAGCATACTTTTTGACTGGAAAGAAGAGTTTTTTGGTGTTTCCGATGCTTGCTCTACAACTCAACAGATGGTCGCATCAGAGTCCCATGATGTTGTTTGGTCTTTTCACGAAGAGTAAATGAGTTGGTTTATCATACTTATCATTATAAGGTGCATCTTTACATTTAACTAATTGCTTAAAATTTCCTTCCATGACACCAGATTTTGAAAAACACTCTATAGCAGGAGTATTTGTTATTATATGGATAGATACACACAAACCTTTTAAATCTAGTTGCACTGATGTATAACAGACCAATTTCTATCTTCCAGTCGAGAGTTCATGTGTGCTTCACTAAAACATCCTGTTGTGCTTCTGATATTTAGGTTTCCTTCTAGCTGAATCAAGAAGAGTAGCTTGTATCTTCCTGTTCTCAGCTATTTTGTATTTGTTTCAAAAGACAACTCAGAAAACAATTTGAAAGAACTGTTTTTCCTTTAAACTGATGCCACAGTGCATACATTACGAAGTCAATTATTATGAAACTAAAAATGGAACGAGGAATTTATTTGTCATTTTTCAACAACCATATTTTGTCAATTCATTCTATTCATGTTTTAATAATTTCCACGTGGGAAAGGTAAAGCTCTATGGAAACGTCTGCAACTGTGTTTAAAATCTGAATTTTCTTTTGCCAAATGTGGCTCATGGCTCTTGCAGCCTCCTCACCCAAACAATTGGGTTGTGCCCCTCTGTTTTCTTGTATTATACAGGACCTTAGTGTAACTGAAATGTTTAGAGTAACTAAAATGTGTTTCTCCATTCTTTTTGCCCTGCAGTGGGTTTTTGAGATTTTTTTTCCCTTTCTAATGATCTGTAAAAAGAAAGGAAAAAAAGTGTAATGTGCCATCTCATGCAAAATGCAGAAGAGGAAAAGAAAGACACAAATTTTTCCACCTGTGCAAGGAAAACTAATCCATTTAGGTGTAGCCACTGTAGCAAGGTGCTGTTCTGCCCGAGGCAACCTTCTGAGCAGAGCTTAAGCAGCTGTAAGGAGATGAGGCCCTCGTTACAGAAATTAGATGGATCAGGAAGTAAACACAACTGGCTTTTATTTGATCCCGCTCCACGACGAGGAAAGGGGAATTCCTCGGCTAATTACTTCATGGGCCACTTCTCCTCCGGGCTGGTGTCAAAATCCAACACTTCTAATCTGAAGGGACGACAGGAGAGAGGAGGACAGGGAAAGAGAAATCACACAGCGGTAGAGCTGTCAGGAATTTGCCAAGATGCCGAGGTGATGGACATTTTGTTTTCAGTGTTGGTGACCCTTAGGACAGCTCTATCATAACTGGCAGCAGGGGATGAAAAGATGATGCTTGTTTCATAATCGGAATAGAGTCTGTCCATTCTCTCTCATGGCCCTATACATTGCAGACATCTCTCTCCCCCTGTCTTAAACTAGCACCCTAATTCATCTTCATCTGGTGTTATATTTCCTGTGTACCGTATGTATTTAATTCAATTTTTTTTTTTGCTTTCTGTTAACCGCGAGGTAGTAAACGATGACTAGACTTCCAAAAGTTATAAGAGTAGCCCCACAAATCACAAATCCCACACCAGCTCACTAAGAAAGTTCAATTGCTTTCTTATAGGATGTAAACGACAGTAAACAGTAAAACTGTGTCTCATTTGTGCTATTTATTCTGCTTAATTAACTTGGCTGCAAAAGGAATAGTGAGCTCTAAGACCATTCAATAGACCATTCAATAGACAGACAAAGGTTAATCATTGTGTATATGCATATACCATAAATATATACTACACACAAATCATGTTTTTGACATTTTCCAGCATTCTGGTAATTTTCCCTAAATATTTTTCACACCTTTATATGGAAGCACGGTCCTATTGTGACCCGGTGCTTTAGTCATTTTGTATAAAGTGAACAGCTAATCTGAGTAATTATTAGTTAACACTACAGTATGTCCTTTCACAATATTACAAGAGACAGTCCTCAATATGCCCTTGAGATTTCCCTTGTTGCTCATGAACAGTGCAAAGTAAACTTAAGAAGTTAAGAGCTGCTGCCCTAACCTTCATTCTAAAGTAAAGTGCATACTGTATTTAACATGTACTGTATGTGTATTCTGAAATACAAAAAAGTATACTTTTAGCTTTATGGATGTGTAGAGAAGGACAATTTATGTTTAATGACAAGGAACACCTGACAGTGATAGAAAAATGTGATGGATTAGTTATTACAACACTTGACATTAACTGCTCGTGTTTAGATTTCTTCAGTTAGATCATTTGATTTCAGCTTATCCTTTACAATACAGTCTATACTAGTCCACATTTATTTTCAATTGTTTGAATTGAAACACGATTTTGAAGATTTTGATCAATGGGAACTTAAATTTGCTGAATAAGCAAACTTAAATTGGTTTGTTACCACCAAAATAAGTTGTATTAATATCTGTTGAAGTTGTTTTAATTGTAGAAAATAGTAATGTAACACCTGATTGTGTCTAAAAGAGTTTTCCAGTGCTGTATACAGTATATATTTTTTCAGATTAAAGGTTTTTAAATCACTGAATTGTCCTGTTTGCTTTTTATTTTCATTTTTGTCAATAAAATATCCATAAATACACTCAAAGAATATTAAAAAACAAATTCACTCGGACAGTAAATTAAATAAACCCAACTGAAAAACCAGAGGAATTAAGGAGCTTGATGTGTAACATTTTTATTTTTTATGTGAAAACTTAAAATACTATTCTTTCATATACTGCACCAATGACCTTTATATTCACATTTTTAATATTTCTGTGTATGCCACTCTTGTTTTGAGTTAAAATGATGCTGATTATTAAACAAATTAGGATTGTGAGAGAGGCCAAGCAATATACTTTCAAGTAGGACATACTTACTACAGTATGTACGTATTTCCTTTGGGAGTCTGCAA